AAATTCTGAAGAAGGGTCTCGACCCAAAACGTCAGCTTTCCTGCTCCTCTGATGCTGCTTGGCCTGCTGTGTTCATCCAGCTCTGCACCTTGTTATCTCAGATTCTCCAGCATCGGCAGTTCCTACTATCTCTGTAATAAACAGTTATTTGTTTGTTAGGTTCACAACCTAGCGGGTGTTTTAGTTGAGCTGAATTGGTGAACTAGGGACTTTGGAAAGTCTGACTAAATCTTTTCTCAATTGCGACAACTCCAGGAATTGTGGGACTTGATTTCCAGTGCAATACTCCGGTGATGTGTGACAATACATATATTTACTTGTGAAGAGAGTTTATTGACTTGACCTCGTACCAGCAGTGGCCTGTTAGTAAGTGCTCAGTGATAATTAATACTGACTATCTGTTTCTGTAAATCTTAAAAATGTGAAACATTAATGAAGGGGAAGAGAAACCAGAGCAGATGCGATAAGCCAAAGTGCACAGTAACTCCTATGATCCCGGTGGGTCAGATGAAATGTTTAGTTTGTTGTAGGGCAGTTGAGCTACAGTCACCTACCTCTTGACCCTTCGAACCTTTCACACCTGGTTTGCCTGGAGGTCCTGGGTTACCCTAGAAGTTCAAAAGAAACAATGAAGGAGCTTTCTGCATCTCTTGTTAAGTCAATGTTCTTACATATGGAATCATTCACTACAACCTTTTCCCATCCAAGGGAGCCCTCAATCACACAAGTAATCCACAGCACTTAAGAAGTGTTCTGTATTCTAGTAAAATGAAACCTTAATCTCAGGGATTAATGTGCACTTACCAGTAAACCTTGCTGACCTTGCTTCCCCCACTCTCCATCCAGCCCTCGTTGGCCCTGTTAGTGAATATAAACTAGTCAATTCGAACAGTGCCAAATCCTACATAATTCTATTATACTCTGTGAATTTTAATCCAAACACTCAAGTAACATCATGTTTGTGCACTGTTCTATTGCTGTCATTCAAAGTGGGGATAACCATTTTAGAAAAGGATAAGAGATGGTACAGCAGTGGAAGCTAATTGGGGACCCAAAACATTAACTCTGATTTTTTTCATCACAGATGCTGCCAGACCTGCTGAGCTTTTCCAGCAACTTCTGTTTTTGTTCCTGTGTTACAGCATCCGTAGTTCTTTCGATTTTTATTGTGTGATAATCCTCCCTGCTGTCAGTGATTGCTGAGGGAGAAACCAGTAACAAATAGTCACATTGGGAAATGAATATAGTGGAAACTCCATTTTGAAATATACGGAAGAGGGCTGTGCTCCATATTCTAAGGGCGTAATTCTCCCTCTGGAATGTGTTGGACATTGACCTTGCAAGATGTCCTGGGTTCAAATCCCAAATGAGCTCTCAGTTACAACTGATGCATGTTGTTGATTATGTTTGAGAGGAGAAAGAACTCTTGTAGTAGTGTCCCTACTCCTAGACCATGAGGTCCAGATTCAAGTCCCACCTGCTGCAGAGGTGTGTCATAAATATCTAATGGAAAGAAAGAATAACTGACAGCATGTAGGGTTTCATGGCACAGTAGTAATGTCCCTACCTCTGAGCCTAATATCGCAGGTTCATGTCCCAACTAGACTCATAGAATCCCTGCAGCACAGATAGAGGCCATTCAGCCCATTGAGTCTGCACCGACCTTCTAAAGAGCAACACACCCAGACCCATAACCCTACATTTCCCATGGCTAATCCACCCGAACCTGCACATCTTTGGATTGTGGGAGGAAACTGGAGCACCCGGACGAAACGCACGCAGACACGGGGAGAATGTGCAAACTCCACACAGACAGTCGCCCGAGGGTGGAATTGAACCTGGCGCTTGTAAGGCAGCAGTGCTAATCACTGAGCCACTGTGCCACCCTGATCCAAGCTGGTACTCGCCAGTTTTAATGTTTTGTTATCCATCTGGGGACAGGTGTGAATCAGGGACATTGATGGATGTGCCAATATGGTGGAGTGCCAGTGCCAGTATGATCTGGTACCAGGCTGTGATCTGCTCACACTGCCTGCTCCTATTTGTAGAGATCACCGTTCACATTCAGGTTAGGTGTGAGGTGGAAAGCTGTGCAGCTGGGGAAGGCTGGAAAAAGTCAAACCTCGAGGTAACGACCGCATGGATGGGGACCTGTCATTGCTCCTGGCGCAGACGCCAACATGGCAGCCCTGAATCTGACCCTAGCACATAGCCCCCACCACCCCCCCCAACCCTGCCACCCCCCAGAATGGCTCCAGGCTCTCTGAATGGAATCTGGCCGTTTGGAGGAAGAATATTGAATCACACACAAGGACGTAGGTGCATCTGTTGTCATACACACACAAGGAGAATAATTGCCACTTCGCTGACCTTCAAAGGCCACTTGAGAGACATGCAGTCATTTCGAACACATTAGAACACACCTCTGGAGCTTAAATACAGGCCTCCTGGCTCAGAGGTAGGGACACTACCACTGCACCACAAGAAACCTTTAATTCCATTACATTGATATTCTCTAATCAACCTGGTCAGAGATGTTATTACACACCTCTGGAAGCAGGTGGGACTTAAACCTGGACCTTGTTCTTAAGATTCTGTACCTATGTACTTGTACCTAAGATGGAGTCTTGTGTGGCAACATTATACACTTTTCACTGTACTTTTGTACTTCAGTACACGTGACAATAAAATCAAAATCAAGTCAACCTCCTGGCTCAGAGGTAGGGACACTGCCACTGCACCATAAGCTCCCCAAGCTGCAGTCACTTTATGCTCAGCGTTCTGTCTGCTCTCCTTGGGTCTTGCGACTCAATGCCAGTTTTCACAATTATTGAACCTCAGCCCGTGACGGTATTTTTCAACCCGTCAGACCAATTTGTCGCCAAAACAAGGGGCCAGTTCAGAGTCAAATTGCATCGAGTGGCAGAAACGAGTTTGGGTAATTGCTGTCCCAGCTCCGAGATATGACGGAGAACACACCTTTCTGAAGGTGGGATAACAAGGTGTAGAGCTGGATGAACACAGCAGGCCAAGCAGTATCAGAGGACCAGGAAAGGTTTGGAAGGCGCTGTAAAAAGCCAGAACATGGAACCTTGGCAGAATGAGTGTAAAGGAGTGGGAGAGAAGCCTGTTAATGCACTGAGAGCTAGTGTTACAGTGGGCAGGCATATACTGTCCTGCTCTACCCCCTAGAAGGGCAAAGGCAGCAGATACACAGGAACAACACCCCTGCAAATCCCTCACCATCCTGGACTTGGAAATATATCAACCTTCCTTCAGTGTTGCTGGGTCACCATCCTCGAAACTAGCAGGACTGAGAGTGGAGGGGGGTACTGACACCACATGGATGGTTCGAGAAGGTAGCTCACAACCACTTGCTCTGAGATGGTGAGGAATGGGCAATAAGCATTGGCTTTAAGTCCTGACGAAGGGTTCTGACCCAAAATGTTGACTTTCCTGCTCTTCGGATGCTCTCTGACCTGCTGTGCTTTTCCAGCTCCATGTGCATTGGCTCCTTACTTTCATTCCTTCCTCGGGAAAGCAGCCAACATAATCAAAGGCCCCTCCCACCCTGGTTAGACTCCCTCTTTCATCGGGCAGGAGATATAAAAGTTTGAAAACACACACCAACAGATACAAGAACAGCTTCTTCCCTGCTGTTATCAGACTTTTGAACAGACCTCTCATATATTAAAGTTGTTCTTTCTCTTCACCTTCTCTGTATTCTGCATTCTGTTCTATCGCCCTGATGTACTTATGTAATGTATGTCTTTGTCTGGTTAGCACGCAAAACAATACTTTTCACTGTATCTCGGTACATGTGACAATAATAAATCAAATCGAATCAAATCAAATTAAAGCAGTGGTACAGACTGCCACTGAGAGAAATATAGAATAACCTACAATATAACCAGGATCTCCAGGTTCACCTCTGTCTCCTCGATCGCCAATAGGGCCCTGTGGAAACAGCACACACATGCACGCACTTGTGTTAATTCATGCATTTTCTCCTCTTTCACTAGAAATAACAGATAAAACATTCAGAGGCGATCTTCGAGCAGATAAAAGTGGGCTATGAGTGAGAGAATACTTACCTCCATCGATCAGGGTATCCAGAACATGGGGTCACTGTCTCAGAAGAAGGGGCTCAGGCGTTTAGGACACCTATGAGAGCTCTCTTTACTCAATGGGTTGTGGGGTTTTTGAAATTCTCTCTCCCAGAGGCCTGTGGATGCTCGGTTGATTGGTACATTCAGAACAGCGATCAATAGATGTTTCCCCAATGTCAGAATTATGGGGAAACTTAGACAACAGGAGCAGGAGTTCCCTTTAATCCCATTAGCCCTAAGACCTGTATCCAAATCCTTCTTAAAATATTCAATGTTCTGGCCCTAACCACTTTCCATGACAGAGAATGCCACAGGCTCCCCACTCTCTGGGTGAAGACATTTCTCCTCATCTCAAGTTCTAAGTGGCCCAACCTGTATCCTTACACTGTGAAGCCTGCTTCTGGACACTGGTTATCAGGAACATCTTTCCTGTGTTTGTCCTGTTTAGTCCTGTTAGAATTTTATAGATTCCCCCCAATTATTCTTCTAACCAATCCAGTCTCTCTTCGTACGTCAGTCCTGCCATCCCAGGAACCTTTGCTGGCACTCCCTCCATCGCCAGAACATCCTTCCTCACGTAAGGAGACTAAAACTGCACACAATGTTTTTCACCCAGAGGGTGGTGGGAATCTGGACTTCACTGCCTGTAAGGATGGTATCCCTCATAACATTTAAGAAGAGTTTAGATGTGTACTTGCAATGCCAAGATACACAAATGCTTGGAAAATGGGATTAGAACAGCTATGTGCTGGTTTTTGACATGCAGGCTTGATGGGCCGAAGGGCCTATTTCTGTGTCTTGTTTCAGCAGGGCCCTGTACAACTGTAGTAAGACATCTCTGCTCCTGTACTCGAGTCCTCTTACTATGGAGGCCAACATACCATTCATCTTTATCACCTCCTTCTTCATGCGAGTGTCTAGTGAGGGATGGTGAGGGATGGTACAGCTGAAGTGTCAGATTAGCCTGGAACAGGAGCAGGGCCAAAGGGGCAAATAGATGAGTCTCTGCTCCTGTTTCCTGTTTGAAAATCAGTTTCTGATTGAAATTTACTTGGTCTGTTGGAGTGTCTGCTCTGGCTCGAATGTAGCACTCTTGCCTCTGACTGGAAGGTCCTAGGTTCATGTCTCATTCCATAGCTCAAGGCTCACATCCCACTGCAGGCCTGAAGTGGGGGGTGGGGGGTGGGGGGTGCTGCACTGCTGGAAAACACTCTTTCTGGATTGGCTAATGAGCCTCAGGTAGTTGGAAAAGGGCCAGGGAGTTCTCTCTGGGCCAGCATCGATCTCTGACAAGTGACGTCACAAAAACAGATCGTCCTCCCCCAATCACTTTACCGTTGCTGCATTTCTTACATAAATGGCAATGCCTACACTTCAAAAAGTGCTTCATCGGCTGGTCCGCTGGTTGTGAAAGGTGCTATATAAGTGCAAGTCTTTATTTTCGCTATTCCTGCTTGAGGGAGCTTGTTGTACTCTGGTTGGCTTGTTGAGTTTGCTGATTGCAATAGTGACTACTTTCCATTGGTTATAAAGTGCTTTACGATATCCAATGGTTGTGAAAGGATAGACATAAATATAATTCATCGATCTTCCTTCAAGGTTTTAATGTCCAATCCAAGGTAAAAATCACTACAGCACCCTCTGTGCTCCCATCAGAGAAGGAGAGAGCTGATGACAGTTTGACCTGAGGGCAGACAATTGAGAATTATTGAATCCCTACAGCATGGAAGCAGGCCATTCCAGCCCATTGAATCCACACCAAACCTCCTACCCTATCCCCATAACCCTGCAGCTCCCATGGCCAACGAACCTTACTTGTATACCTTTGGATTGTGGGAGGAAACTCCAGACCAGAGGGTGGATTTGAATGCAGGTCCCTGGTACTGTGAGGCAGCAGTGCTAACCACTGTGCCACCTTTCATGACAACATCAGCCAATGTGGGAACTGAACCCATACTGTTGATATCACTCAGGCATTACAAACCAGCCTTCCAGAAAACTGAGCTAACCAAGCCCCTATTTCCTAGCTGATGTTTTGCTTTGTATAACTAACATTTTGCAGAAAGCACAGTAGCTATTTTTTTTTCAGGAACTAGCTGGGGACAGTGTGCCAGAGCAAGTGGAGTCAAAACTCCTTTGCACTTTGATCGTTGCCAAGTCTGGGGCGAGGTGGCAAGAGTTAAGTAAATTATTTGGAGCTTGAAATTGTGAAATTTGGCTAGGAGTTATCTGAGAGCATCTGTTGGGAGTTGGATGCGCACTAACCCCAAGTGCTCTGGGAACAATTTAGCAATCGGAAACTGAATTGTCTTTGGGATTCGCTGCAGAGTTTGTTGTCACGTCCACTACAGCATCAATTCAGTTACATCAGCTCACTGCTTGCAGATCAGATGTGGGGTTTTGACCTTGTGCTGGGAATGTGAGCGTGTGGGGAGCTGGAAGAGGCGTCTATCATTCCTCGATCTCATTAATCTCCAGTGGAGCAACAGGCCATTTGTTTTAAGTTAACTGTGATTTCAGTCTTAAGACTCTCACTTAACGGTTCATGCTTCCAGAAGAAGGAGATTTAGCGTTTGGGGCAGGGGGGAGTTTAGGCCATCCTTGTACTTTGCCTGCTGTTGAATGAGGGAAGTAGCACACCTCCAAACAGGACGATGCTGTGGTATACTCCCTCTATACCATCAGTGGGAGTACAGTGGCAGACCTGTACACATTCAAGCTATGAGCTGTGTTCCTCCCAGACCAGCCAGCAGCACAGTAGATAAGGGACAGCATTTCCATTCTAATCAATACTGGGTAAATATGCAACTGTGTAGTGTGCTCTCTGAACACTAGCTTGGAAACTCTTTGGCCTAGCTCCACTGGTGTGACTCCCCAGAGCCAACCATTGAGCCTTGGACCACATTACAATCGAAAAATGTTTCAATTAAATATTCCGCTACCGACAATAAAATTCAACTTGTCTCCATGTTTCACTCGATATGATTGCAGTGTTAATATTTACAGGTAACATTCCATGTCGGGTACAACAGCCCAGGGGCAAGACTAGAAACCTCCAAAACATAAGCTTTTCTCGAAACAGCATGGACCTCGCTGAGAATGCCTCGGTGCATTTTCCACCCTCCTGCTCCTCACAACATACGCTTTTGGTAAGGCACACAGCCCAGAGGGATCGACAGTTTGCTGCCCCTCAGTGTATAACTGAAGGGCATTAGACAGTGACCACTCCCCACTGCCTCTGTGTGACAGCTGCCCCAAGCTACAGTGCATCCCTCAGCACATGATATAGGACCTTAGAATGTGACAGTCTGCAACTCTTGGTCAAGGACAACAGTTTGCATCGAAAGACCATCAAGTTTCAGCCAGAGCACTTTTCACTGGCTTGATGGCCCTCTGGGCACACTTGATATTTGTCTCCTTGAGCCTCAGATGCCTGGGGTTAGAACATAGAACAGTACAATAGTGCCAAACATGATGCAAATTAAACTAATCCCTTCTGCCTGCCCTTGGTCCATATCCCACCATTCCTTGCATACCCATGTGCTTATCTAAAAGACCCTAAAACACCCCTGTTGTATCTGCCACCACCCCTCACCCCTGGCAGCATGTTCCAGACACCTACCACTCTCTGTGTAAAAAACTTGCCCCTCACACCTCCTTTGAACTTTTCCCCTCCCACCTTAAATGCACGCCCCCAGTACTCATATTAGGTTCTGGTGTGGAGTTGTGCATGGTCCCCTAATGGTTTATACTATCCTGCACAGCCCTTAGAGAGAGGCTGCTCCAAGCTGAAACTGCGGCTTTCTGCAGGGCAATGGCAGCTGCGAGCTGATACTTTCCAAATATCTCAGAAACGTACACAAGTGGCCACCCGAATGTTGGTACAGTCTGCCAGAGATGCAAGTCAGGTGCCTTACCTATGAACTCGCTCATCCTACTGGGCGTGTGTGAGGTCGTGTCAGAGGCGAGGAGCAGAGTTCCTGGCCTATACTGGGGTCCCCAACACATCCATTGTCCAAGGCCCACACAACAAATACAGACCAGGAAGGGCAAATGTAACTCTGTCAACAAAGGAAGGGATGAGAAACTGGTAATGACAACACCTCCAGCCCTGAGTACTGGAACCATGGTGACAGACTATGAGGTTTGTACGTTGCTTACTCTTCACAGTGCCTCAATACCAAATGCTGACTATTCCTTACAGTGAAACCTCTTGAGACCAGCTCTGAATTAGTCACTTCAGCAACTTGAACTGATGCCACAATGTCAGCTATTACTATACCATCACCAGAAACCTATGCTTTCGTTTTATTGCACCGGTTAGTGTTTTATGAACTTATATAAGATCTCTCCAGACACTGTTATCATTTCGAGTCTGGTAAGACCATAAACTATAGGAGCAGAATTAGGCCATTTGGCCCATCAAGTCTCCTCTGCCATTTGATCATGGCTGATATGTTTCTCAACTGCATTCTCCTGCCTTCTCCCCAAAACTCTTGATCCTCTTAACAATCGAGAATCTATCTATCTCTGTCATAAATACACTCAATGACAGCTCTCTGTGGCAATGAGGTGCACAGATTAACCACCCTCCGGCTGAAGAAATACCTCCTCATCTCAGTTCTAAAGAGTCGTCCCTTCATTCTGGGGCTGTGCCCTCGGGCCCTAGTGTCTCCTACTGGTGGAAACACCATGTCCATGTCCACACTATTGAAGCGTCTCAGTATTCTATAAGTTTCAATGAGATCCCCCCTCATCCTTCTAAACTCCATCGAGTACAGACCCAGAGTCCTCACCTGTTCCTCATGTGACAAGTCCTTCATCCCCGGGATCGTTCTTGCAAACCTCCTCTAGACCCCCTCCAAAGCCAGTTCACCCTTCCCTGGATATGGAGTCCAAAACTGTTCACAATATTTCAAATGCAGTCTGACCAGAGCCATTTACAGTCTCAGCAGTACATTCCTGCCCTTGTATTCCAGCGCTCTCAAAATGAATGCTAACATTGCATTTGCCTTCCTAACTGCCAACTGAACCCTGCATGTTAACCTCTACAGAATCTTGAACCAGGACTCCTTTGTGCTTCATATTTCTGAAGCCATTCCCCATTTAGAAAATAGTCTATGCTTCAATTATTTCTACAAAAGTGCATATTTTGCAACTTCCCACATTGTATTCAATCTGCCACTTTTTTTGCCAACTCTCCCAGCCTGCCCAAGCCCATCTGCAGCCTCCCTGCCTCCTCAACACAATGTCCTTACCGACCTTTGTGTCATCTGCAAACTGAACAACAATGTCCTCAGATCCTGCATCCAGATCATTAATGTATTACATGAATAGCTGGGGTCTCAACATGGAGCCCTGCCCTTACTGCTGATCCTCACCTGTGACCCTCATCGTTATAGCCTCTGGCGACATTAAGACTCCAATGGCTGCATTACCGGCAGTAGCCACTACGCCCAGTCGCGCCGCCGAGCAATTCCAGCCCATGGTTGGGGAATGGGATAATGGGATTTCTACTCCTGATCCTGGGCAAGGCCTCAAGCTGAAAGGAGGCGACATGGGGCGTGCCTGGTTTCCAGGCTGTTGGGGTGAGACTCTACTGTCTCCATTCAATGCCACCCATTAACCTTCTTCTCTCTCCCTGGACGCTGCTTGACCTGCTGATTGTTTCCAGCATTTTCTGTCTTTAGCTCGGATTTCCTACCTCTGCAGCGTTTTGCTTTCGGAATGAAATTTGCAGGAAGGGCAGACCGGTGGCGGATGCAATTCAACACAGAGAAATGTAAAGCAATGCCTTTTGGAAATAAAAATACAAATTTTGAATGGAAAAATGGAGCAGAATTCAGGTACAGATACATAATTTATTAAAGTGGGCAGATATGGCCGTAAAAAGAAAGATTAACATAGCCTCAAGAATTATTGTATTAGATATTAATGGAAGATTTGGTTTAATTAATCATACTAACCGAAGTTTCTGTCACAAAATAGCACTTACCCTGTCTCCAGGGGGCCCAGGAGGACCTTCCACCTTCCCATCATCCCCTTGTTCACCCTGCAACGAGAAAAAAAATCCTTGATTTTAATTTCCTTCAATGTTCCTCAGCACTGACACTCCAGAATTGGAGCACTTCCCTCAGCACTGACCCTCCGACAGTGCGGCCCTCCCTCAGCACTGACCCTCCGACAGTGTAGCACTCCCTCAATACTGACCCTCCGATAGTGCGGCGCTCCCTCAGCACTGACCCTCCGACAGTGCGGCGCTCCCTCAGCACTGACCCTCCGACAGTGCGGCGCTCCCTCAGCACTGACCCTCTGACAGTGCGGCGCTCCCTCAGCACTGACCCTCCGATAGTGCGGCGCTCCCTCAGCACTGACCCTCCGATAGTGCGGCGCTCCCTCAGCACTGACCCTCCGATAGTGCGGCATTCCCTCAGCACTGAGTTTTGAAAATGTTATTTAAGAGAGCTTTGAAGATGAACGGCCAATGATTTGAAAAGGCAAGTAGTGACACAAGTGAAGGTCTGTGAGATGTGAAGAGGTTAGGCTCAGGTACAGGCTGATGCTGCAGTGTAGACAGGAAGGGGGTCTGTACACTTGCTTTTGCAGCATCACAGCTTAGAGAGGGCAGACACTCAATAACCTGGCAACCATCTACAAGGCACAAGTCAGGAGTGTGATGACAGCGAACAGCTCCAACACCATACAGGATAAAAACAACTTTTTAGATCTGTATCTCATCCACTCCCTCCTCTGCCAACCCTCAGTAGCAGCAGTGTGTACCATCTACAAGATGCCCTGCAGAAATTCACCAAAGATCCTCAGGCAGCACCTTCCAAACCCACGACCACTTCCATCTAGAAGGACAAGGGCAGCAGATACAGGGGAGCACCACCCCCTGCAAGTTCCCCTCCGAGCCACTCACCATCCTGACTTGGAAATATATCACTGTTGCTGCAGTGTCGCTGGGTCACAATCCTGGAATTCCCTCCTGAAGGGTGTATATGGACTGGAGTGGTTCAAGAAAGCAGCTAAACACAACCTTCTCAAGGGGTAATTAGGGACGGACAATAAAGGCTTGCCCAGCCTGCAATGCCCGATGCCACCAGGCAAGAAGAAGAAGAAGAACAAAAGAAGATATAGGGGAGACGTCAGAGGTAGGTTCTTTACTCAGAGAGTGGTAGGGGCACGGAGTGCATTGCTGGAGAGGGTAGTGGAGTCGGCCTCATTGGGGCATTTAAGCGGCTATTAGATAGGCATATGGATGATAGTATAAGGTAGAGGTGGAGGTTACACAGACCTTAGGTTTAGGGTAAAAGTTCCATACAACATCGTGGGCTGAAGGGCCTGTACTGTGCTGTACAGTTCTATGCTCTATGTTCTAAAACAATCTGCAGGTGTATTGGGATTAATTGGAGAGCCCCTATCAAAGAGTTGGGGGCTGAATGGCCTTTTTCTGCGCTGCACTGTTCCATGATCCTATTGGACTTTATGTAAAATGTGACGACAAATTGGCACTCCACATTTTATCGCAAACTTGTGAAGGTGCAAACTTTTGCTGCAAACTCTGCTCCATGTGAGTCACAACAGCAGCCCTTACAAAATGATCCTCTTTCCTAATCTTCCAGTGAAATGGAATCTTCCTCTCTCTGGCTCATGTGCAGACAGCAAGTTAATTTCGACTATCAGGATTTGGCAGTTGCTCCCACCCTCAGGGCAACTCGCGAATCCTGTGGAGTTTGTCTCCCATGGGTCTGCTCCAGCTGTTTCTAATCGCAGACACTGTAGAGGTGAATCAGCAATGAGCTGCAGAAACTCTGTCCCATTTCGCTAATGTCTGGAGAACTCGTTCAGTTTGAAGCCAACCAAGAGAAACCCGAAACGTCAGATCAACTGGAAAATGGGAGTAATTACTCTCAAAGCAGGGTTAAGAGCTCGATCTTTTCCATTTCCCTTCCAGTGAACTCAATAACTTTTTTTTCTTTACAAAGTACAATTGCTATATTTGGAAACCTGCTTGCTTCACTCTCCAATTTCACTGTTGAATTTTATTCAAACCATCGAGAAAATGAATGTTTTCTGGAGCCAGAAATGGGTCGCCGTTTGCAGATATGATGATGGTGATTGTCACGCTCTGAAATACAGTTTGGTTTCACTGAAGGTTGAAGAATGAGTCCAACATTGTAGCCCCCAAAATGATGCATTTATCTTAAATATCTTCTCCTCTTCCTGAATCGTGACATTAAGTCTGTCGCTTAAACTTTTTGACAAAGGTGTTTTGTATCATATAAATTGTCATTCAGGGCAAAAGCCAACCTGATTGGATGCTATGGTAGAGAAGGCTAAGTGGAGATTGGTTGGAGGTGTTCAAAAGCATAAAGAGTTTGATTAAGGCAGACAAAGAAAAACTGCTCTCAACAGCAAGAGGTACAAATATGTGGGGACAGACTGTAGACCAGAAATACAGGGGAATATCAGGAAGACCTGGAATCCATTCCACACGAGGGCGTTGGAGGTGGAAACGGTGGATGATTTGGGAAAGAAACTGGACGAATACTTGAAGGAAATAGACTTGCACGGCAATGGATAGAGTGCGGGAATGGGACTGACTGGATTGTTACCCAGAGAATGAGCATGAGATGAATGGGCCAACTGGCCTCATGCTGCATGCGAATAACTTTATATTTCTTGAGAGGAAGATGGATGTGGGTCAATTCAGAAAGTTGTTGTTTAAAGGTCAGGAAGTCAATTTGAAACAGTGAGCTCACTATATCAATTCCAAGTGCCTGGGAGAAACTCTGCTGTGTTAGTGAATGAAATATTATACTTTTAGGCTTATGACAGGCAGAGTGAATGCATTATGGCAATGAGGTCAGTTTTATTTTGAAATAACTGGCAAAATAACCAGAGATGTCATGAGGAAAACCTGTTTTATGCCTCAAATGGTGAGGATTTGGAATGCAATGTCTGACTGGCTGGTAGAAACAGGTTAAACAGAATTATTCAAAAGGGGATTGAGTAAATATTTCAAAGGGATAATAATTGGAGGGACACGGGGAAAGAGGTGGGGAAAAGTACTGATTGGATTGTTCATTAAAGGGCCAGCACAGATTTATTGGGTCAAATGGCCTCCTCCCATGCTGTACCATATGCAATTTATTGGAAGAGAAATTCTAATGTTAAGATGCAATGCTTTCCTTTAACTTCACATGAATCAGCTGGTCTCGAAGAGACCATTATAAAACATAACCAACAACGTACTCTCCAGTCCTTCAATCCTATGTCTCCAGACAATACAAAACCCAAACCCACCCCCCTCCAACTGGGGCTTTCTCCACTGGGAAAACAGTGCAAACTCAAGTGACTTAAAAAATCAAATCATAACCCTCAGTTCCCTTATTGATTAAAAGTCTTTTTATCTCAGCCTTCAATATACTTAATAACCCAGGTTCAACAGCCCTCTGCACTAAAGAATTCCATAGATTCATGTCCCACTGACTGAAGAATTCCTCCTCATCTCTGTCTTAGATACAAAGAACAAAGAAAATTACAGCACAGGAACAGGCCCTTCGGCCCTCCAAGCCTGCACTGACATGCTGCCCGTCACAACTAAAACCCCCTACCCTCCCGGGGACCGTATCACTCTATTCCCATCCTATTCATGTATTTGTCAAGAACGCCCTTTAAAAGTCACTACAGTATCTGCTTCCACCACCTCCCCCGGCAGCGAGTTCCAGGCACTCACCACCCTCTGTGTAAAAAACTTACCTCATACATCATCTTTAAACCTTGCCCCTCGCACCTTAAACCCGTGGCTCCTGGTAACTGACTCTTCCACCCTGGGAAAAAGCTTCTGACTGTCCATTCTGTCCGTGCCCTTCATAACCTTGTAGACCTCTATCAGGTCGTCCCTCAACCTCTGTCGTTCCAGTGAGAACAACCCAGGTTGCTCCAACCTCTCCTCATAGCTAATGCCCCCCCATACCAGGCAACATCCTGGTAAATCTTTTCTGTACCCTCTCCAAAGCCACCACATCCTTCTGGTCGTGTGGCGACCAGAATTGAACACAATGTTCCAAATATGGCTTAACAAAGGTTCTATAAAGCTGCAACGTTACCTGCCAATTTTTAAATTCAATGCCTGGGCCAATGAAGACAAGCATGCCATATGCCTTGTTGACTACCTTTTCCACCTGCGTTACCACTTTCAGTGACCTGCGTACTGTACACCCAGATCCCTCTGCCTATCTGTACTCTTAAGGGTTCTGCCATTTACTGTATATTTTCCATCTGGATTAGACCTTTCAAAATGCATCACCTCACATTTTTCTGGATTAAACTCCATCTGCCATCTCTCTGCCTAAGTCACCAACCGATCTATATCCTGCTATATCCTTCGATGGTCTTCATTGCTATCCGCAATTCCATCAACATTTGTGTCATCAGCAAACTTACTAATCAGACCAGTTACATTCTCCTCTAAATCGTTTATCTATATTACAAATAGCAAAGGTCCCAACACTGATCCCTGAGGAACGCCACTAGTCACAGCCCTCCATTCAGAAACACACCCTTCCATCGCTACCCTCTGTCTTCTATGACCGAGCCAGTTTTTTTTATCCATCTTGCAAGTTCACCTCTGACCCCGTGCGACTTACCTTCTATATCAGCCTGCCATGAGGGACCTTGTCAAAGGCTTTACTGAAGTCCATGTAGACAACATGTGTGACCTTTGACTCTGAGATGATGCTCTCTGCTCTTAGATTCTCCTACAAGGGGAAACAACCTCTGCCTATCTATCCTTTCAACATCTTTCATCCCCCCCGGGAAACTTGTATGTTTCAATGCAGGCTGCTACTTTCGTGATTGGAACCAGGTGGACCTCACTGACCACGTGATCCTTGATTGGGGTTGTTAACCTGAGCCAATCAGGAAAGCCCTGGATGACCAACATTAACAGGGGATTTAGCATCTCCTCCGTTCAGGGGACTGACTCTAAGCTGGCATCTACAGCTAGTGTACTGTGCACGTGTAAATAAAGGGTGACTTGGTGACAGGATTTCAGCTGCACACGTTAAAAATATGAAACTCACAAATCCACATTTGATGGTCACCAGGAGGTGGGCAGCTGTTGAATTTCACGTTTCAGAAATGCGACGTCACAGGTGCAGTGCCAACCCTCCAGCACCTTGCTCCAGAAACGCAGGCCAAATACTAATGATCAAAATGTGAGCATCACCCCTCACCTCCTCTGAAGGCAGATGAATCTGAGTAGCAATGCACTGGAGATGTAAGAGATCTTAGGAGAGCTCTACAGAGTACGCAAAACAACCAGCTACCATCTACTGAGCAAAAAGGCCATTTCATATTTGATTCAGCCCAGTCTTCAATGCACAAAGTCACTTGCAGATGTGTGGGGCTTGCAGGCCATGTGGTTCAGTGAGTATAGAATGAGATGTTGGCCCAGTTCATGCAATGGTTTGTTTGAGGATTTTAACTGGGCACATTGAGAGTGAACGTGGCTAAGGGCCACAGGCATGCACCAAAAGGGTGACTGATAGGAGCAGGTCATTTAGTGTGATGGAGTTACACAAAAATGGAGCTGTGTTGGTGAAAACCTGCCTGTTATGGAGTTGTTATGTATCATTCACTCTCCTATCGCCGCCAAAACACAATTTAGCTCCATGGAGTTTCCAGCACAGACCAATGTAGAAGCTAAGTTCAAGTTCTTTTTTTACCTTTTCACCTTTCGGGCCTGGTGGTCCTTTTGGGCCTGGTGGTCCTTTATGTCCCTGTAGAAGACACAAATGAGTTTTAAATGCACTGATCTACTATAATGTAATGTTTACCTGTAATCTGTTTATCTGACTGTAATGTTTATCCTTTTAACTTTTATTTCCTACTTTCTAACTTATACAATGAATCACTGTAAGGTATGTAGCTTTCTTTTATTTCTCTACTTTGTATCTAAGATCTATACCCAGATAATTTGTACCTAAGATGGCATCATGAGGGGGCGACACTGTAAACTTTTCACTGTAATCTGTACTTCTGTAGCCAGTACATGTGACAATGAATCTAATTCTACTTAATTCTAATTCTAATTCACAACCAAGTTAAAGTATTAGTTATTCCTTTCACACAACGTGTGCGTCACTGACTAGGCCCGTCTCTAATTCCCCTTAAAACCAATGGCTTGCTGGTGCATTTTGTGAGGGAAGTTAAGGTATTGAAGGAAAAGCGAGGAAATCTATCAAGTGATACACAAACAGAAGTTGCTGGAAAAGCTCAGCAGGTCTGGCAGCATCTGTAGAGAAAAAAAATCAGAGTTAACGTTTCGCAGTAAACTTCTCAAAACAACCAGTTCTGAGGAAGGGTCGCTGGACCCGAAATGTTAACTCTGATTTTTTTATCCACAAATGCTGCCAGACCTGCTGAGTTTTTCCAGCAACTTCTGTTTTTGTTCCTGATTTACATCATCCGCAGTTCTTTCGATTTTTATCAAATGATACATTCTGGTCCAACAGGTCTTGTAAACAGAGCTCCATTACCACCATTTCCAAGTAGTAATGATTTTTCCCTCTGAAACTAACCCATTGCTGTGGGTCTGGAGTCACATGTAGTCCAGACCAGGTAAGGATGGCAGATTTTCCTCCCTGAAGGGCATTAGTGAACCAATGTTACCCATTGCCTACTGGCTGCCAATTCCAGTTTTCAGTGATCTCAGTATGGGAATGGATGAGCATAAAGCACCAATAACAATTCCGTCAGAAATGCCAGCAGAGAATGAGGCTATTCAGCCCATCTTGTCTACGCTGGCTCTCCAACTGATCGATGCACCTACTACTATTCTCCTGGTGTCTCCCTGTAACTCTGCTACACTGTTCTCTTTCACATAACTGTCTGACATCCTCTTGAATGTCTTGATTGAACATGCCTCCACCACACTGAGGGCCAGTGCATTCCACACCCATGACCACTCGCTGCATTGGTCAGCTTTTTGACATCTCGCGGAATCACCTGAAATCTGTGCCCTCTCCTTCTCGATTCCTACCACCAATTTTGCGCCGGCTATTGTAGCCAGATTGCCCTCCTGAAGCCGCCTCTGTCAAATCTCCTCACGACCGTCTCCTGCCCGAAGGAAACTGCCCCGTTTCTCCAAACCCCAGGGACATAACTGGAGCAGACCGCAAACACATTCCCGTAGACTAACGTTGGAGTGCTGGGGTTTGACAGCAGAACCCAGCTTGTCCTGGAATTCTGTTTCCCTGTCTATTCGGACACGCAGTGAATTTAGTGCAGTCCGTCTGTGCGAGTTATGGAATATGAATGATGGGTCTCATTTCTGATCCCTCCTTGTTGGGAACTGGACAATCCAATGGCCATTTCCAACAAATCAGATTTCACCCCACCACTGTAAAGCCTAGCAGGGTGGAGGTGTGGTTAGCTCAGCTGGGTTACAACGTAAAAGAAGATCATCAGCATGGTTCAATTCCTGCACTGGCTGAGATTATCAGGAAGGTGTCTCCTTCTCAACTTCTCCCCTCGCCTGAGGTGTGGCGACTCTCAGGCTAAAGCACCACCAAGCTGTCTCTCTCATTAGAGAGAGCATCCCTATGATCTGGTCAGACTAAACTGACTTAGAGATAGTAGGAACTGCCAATGCTAGAGAATCTGAGATAGCAAGGTGTAGAGCTGGATGAACACAGCAGGCCAAGCTGCATCAGAGGAGCAGGAAAGCTGACATTTCGGGTCTAGACCCTTTTTCAGAAATGGTTTTCCTGCTCCTCTGATGCAGCTTGGCCCGCTGTGTTCATCCAGCTCTACACTGTGTTATCTCAGACTAAACTGACTTCACCTTTTACATGGGAGAGGAAAGACAATGAGCAGATGGAGTAAACATTGGGGTCCCCAAACATGGGAAGCTGTAAAACAGTTCCTGCATTGTCAGTAAGTTCTTTAACTAAAGGTCAAAGTGATAGATCAATCGAAGGGAACCCTGGACTGTTTCTGTCTGCTTTCTCTACCAGACAGCCGTACCTAGGGTTTTGGGAGGAGGGAGGGTTAAGTTGTTAATTTGCTGAGATTGTGGTGAGTCAGAAGTCTCTTTTGGGCTTTAATTTATTGCCATGAGGGATCAGCAGAATATTTCCAACATTTTTTCTCGCACTGTCCACGGGATTTTCCCTTTTGTGGCTCTTTTTCTGCCTCTTGCTGTTATATGTTATCCAGGGAGAGAGGGTTGGCAGAGTGTTGGTGTAGGAGGTTGACCAGACTAGGTGGGTTCGGCGACCCTTCAATTCACACGGACAAATTTCCTCCCTTTGTAACTATTTAGACGTTCGGGTGGAAAAACATTTTTTTATCGGTTGGAAATGGAAGGGATCTTGTTTGAAGGTTTACTGCTTTAAATCAGAGCATAAAAAGCTGTCCACTAGGGGCTCCTGGGGATCACTCAAAGTGTTTGAAGATTTAAAATAAGTCAAAGTCCTTGGATTTTTTCAGTCACAAAGTCGTAAAAGTCATTATGCTACAGAAAGAGGTCACTGGCCCTTGAAATGTATCCTGGCTCAAGACTCAGGTAAGCCAGGAGTTACCAAGCCCATAAGCCCCGAACGTAAAGCTGCCCCATCAAATTTCCTTTTGAAATAATTCATTGTCTTTGCTTCCATACTGTTCCAGCAAATTCCAGGTTAGGGACACAGGATATAGAAGCAGGAGAGGGCCACTCAGCCCATCATATATTCCCACCATTCAATCCCACCATGGTTGACTGAATACTTTAACATTATCTACCCACCCTGTGCCCATAACCCTGTACATCAGGTTACCATGTTATTTTATAATTTATATTTATACTTTATATTTATATTTTATATATTTATAAATATATTTATATTTTATTTTACCATTTTATTTCATTTTACCATTGTTACCATTACCCAGGTTGTTACCATTTTCTCTGTTAAAAATGTTCTTTTTCCTGACATTCACCCTCTCTTTCCCAAAATCTTAAATCCACCTTCCTTATTCCTTGCAACACCAGATAATGGGAAAAATTTTTCCAGTTGCTATCTTATCTAAACTGGTTGTAATCCTCTATTCCACTCTCAGGTCTCTCTTCAATCCCCCAGCTTCTCTGACCTACCTTATTGCCCTCTGGAGCTGGCAAATCTTCTCTAAATCCTCTCAAGCACCTTCACACTTACTCTCCTTCATTCATCTGGTGCCACTGCTTTTTCTGTTTTAATTCTGCTCAGCCCTCAGATACTCGACAATATTAACAGTTCTCACTTTTTCTCTTTGTAACACATGAAATATTTCCCGACTCCAATTAAACCACATGGCATGGTTACAGGTTTAACGGGGTATAAAATATATTTATAGGAAGTAGTTTTACAACTTCCCACGGTAAGTTTTGGAGTCAGATTTCCAATCCTGCACCAGAAGATGGGAGACATTGCGTTATACTTCCACTGACACTGCATCGATTGTTCATCTTTGATAATAGCCGCTACCACGGCTGTGTCCCAGGGGACTGCTGAGAAACCAAGATTATTTTATTATAATAAAGACAGAAACAGCTGGAGAAACACAGCAGGGCTGGCAGTAACTGTGGAGAGAGAAACAGAGTTATCGAGTCCCCTATGACTCTGCACTGGAACTTGAAGGGTCTGGAAAAAGCCTTGGCGTTATGGTGTTGGAAAATGTGGGAGAGGAGGGGAGCATGTAGAGCATATGGTAAAGGTGCCCCAGAGCAAAAGGAAAGACAATGCCAATGAAGTAATGAGCGATATATAGATGAAGAGGAAGTGTTAATGATAGGTGTTAATAGACTGTTGAACTTTTAACTTTATTCCTTTATTTTTCTCGTTTATATTAAGATTTTCTTTAATGTTAACTATTACCTTATTTCTTTATTTTTCTACTTACTCTATAAAGGTAATGCTTTTTGTACCTAAGTTTTTGGTACCCAGGTACCTTTGTACCTAAAATGGTGTGGTGTGTGATGACATTATGCACTTTTCACTGTACTCCTGGACTTCAGTACACTTGACAATAACATGCACAGCTAAATCTAAATCTGGTATACGATTTCTTGGAAGCTAATGAAGTCATCATCAGTGAACCAATCCAATCCTCTTTCTGTGGCCTTAAAAGAACATCACATCAAAGCAATGGCTCATAACACAGATGGTAATATTCTTCTGCTGTGTCTGGCTCACATTCATGTGTTTTACTGGACTCTTGTCCCTGCATTAGCTCATCTAATGACGAAACCCTCATTTGCTGGACTATTCCGACATTCTCCTGGCTGCCCTTCCACATTCTACCCTCTCCAAGCTTGAGGTCATCCAAAATGTTGCTGCCCATGTCTTAACTCACAACGAGCCCCATTCCCTCATTGCTCCTGAGCTCACTGATCTATATTGGCCCCGGGTGAAGCAACACCTTGACTTTAAAATTCTCATCCTCATTTTCACCTTCCTTCACAACCTGCTCCCTCCCTAAGTCTGCCATTTCCAGCCTCACAAGCTTGCAAGATATCGGTTCCTGAGCATCCTCAATTTTCTAGAATCATTGAATCCCTACAGTGTGGAGGTAGACCATTCAGCCCATCAAGTTCACACTAGCCCTCCAAACTGACCCACACCCCCAAACCATGTCCCCATAACCCTGCATTTCCCATGGCTAACTCACCCAGCCTGCTCTTACCTGAACACTAGGGGCAATTTAGCATGGCCAATCCACCCTAACCTGCACATCTTTGGACTGTGGGAGGAAACCCACACAGACACAGGAAGAACATGCAAACTCCACTCAGACTGTCACCCGACAATCAAACTGAATCCCTGGTGCTGAGAGGCAGCAGTGCTAACCACTGAGCCACCATGCTGCCCATGTCATTGGGGATCACACTGTTAGTTCTCTAGGCCGAAATACTGGAAGTCCCTCCCTAAATCTCTCTGGCCTCACCTTCCTCCTTTGAGATGCTCTACGAATCCTATCCCTCTGACCCGACGTTTGGTCATTTGACCTCGGAACTCCTGATATGTCTTGATGCCATGTTGCGTTTGCTCCTGTGAAACACTTTGGCTAAATAAATCTAAGTTGTTGTTGTTGTAAGGAGAACAGTTAGCAAAGAAGAGGGGACCACCTGGTGCCACACTGAGGTTGACCCATCTGCTCCGTTGGTCCATTTTCCTTGGCTCAGTGTTTCTGCCCCATCTCGCTGATGGTATATGTTCAGGCTGATAGGCCGCACCCAATGATTTGCTTTCCTTTGACAGCTTTTTGTTTATTTTAAACTGAGCATGTTATTGCAATTAAAGTTGTTAAATATGTTCAGAAGTAACCAACAACCTAGCACTGATTGTAGGGTGAGTGTTCTTTGCAACAAGTCGCTGTAAGATACCATCATTTCAGGTTTGACCGTGTTTTGATTTTGTTAACCTCAAAAATGTCCCACCTCAACGCTCTGTTGTTAGCAAACTTGTATTTGGCTCCCTCAGCCGGAATCATTTAACCATATCGTGAATAGCTGTGGCCCCAGCACCAAATCCCATGGGACCCCCATCTACACCTGTTTACAAACAAACTCTCATGGTCTCTGCCTCAGCACCTTCCCTTGGGAAAGTATTAGGTGTTCTCACATGGCGGAAGGAAAAACCAGTAAAACACAGTCAAAAACAGAAGTTGCTGGAAAAGCTCAGTAGGTCTGCCAGCATCTCTGAAGGCAAAAAAAGAGTTAATGTTTCACTTCTGAGGAAGGGTCACCGGACCCGAAACGTTAACTCTGTTTTTTCCCTTCACAGATGCTGCCAGACCTGCTGAGCGTTTCCAGCAACTTCTGTTTTTGTTCCTGATTTACGGCATCCGCAGTTCTTTCGGTTTTTAAAACGCAGTCAA